TAACGTGATTGTATTTTCCATGCATATTCTCTCCAGTAAGCCTGACCTTTCTGTAACTTACTTGACATAATTTTCTTTCTTTTAATCATTTAGGTAAGCCCACAATTTGACAGCGCACTTGCTGCTCTGCCTCCGGTGAGACGTGGGAGAAGAAAATGTCAAGCTGCAAGCATCCTCGACAGCTCTACGCAACTTTCTAAGAAAAACAGTGTGTGCAAATTTCCCGCGCTTGCATTTCAGACAAGGACAAGAGACCAGTCTCGTCGAACGAAAGGTACACGCTCAAAGAAAGCTACGGAGTGTGCTGCGGTGCCGGATGTGGGAAATCAACCACGGGGATCAAGCCCAGTCAAAAAGACAGTTTCAAGTAGGCAGTGCTTAGAAACACCAAAGAGACAGTCGACCACGATCAGAAGAAGAAATGTGGAGAGAGCTTCTGATGCTGCTGGGTCTCAAACACATGTTTGGATAGGCCTGAAATTCCATCTGTTCAACCGACAGAGGGATACACAGTTCCAGCAGTTGGTGCTTCAATACTTGCTTTAAATGAGTTCAGCACTACTGAGGTCAGCAGCATTAGTCTGCCGTCCAATGTGGACACTCCAAAAGTAATACAAGAAGGGATCAGTTGTTCCTCCACATCTTTACACGTGCTACTGCCTCAGCCATGTACTCCACCATGTAGTCAGCCACCTGACACTTTGGTGGGCGATACACCAGAGAGGGATTATGGGGTGAAGGTGACATGGAGGAGAAGGAGGGGCCTGATGTTGCTGTTAAAAGAGAGAGGTCATCTGTCTGAGTCGGATGTGTTGATTCACCGCTGATTTGGAGAGATGTGAGAGGAGACGGAGGTTATTCATTTGATAACTTCGATGACCAGAACTCTTTTCTGTGCTACTTTTTTATTGCCCTCAATGATGCTGCTGCATTTAACACGATGTCCGCCTTTTGATTCACTGACTGTTTGCTTCATTTTACTTGCATCAAGCCATACAGGAAAAAAACTGCAATAAATATTTAACTAAGTGTGAGTATGTTTGGACTGATATCAGAACTGTAACAAATTCTTTTTTTCTTCCAGATATGTTGCAATCTATAGAATAAAATGTTTATATATGTAAGACCAACAGGCATACTAAAGTAATTTGTTTGTTTACACTTATATTAAGTCGCAATTGCTGATTATTGGTCAGAGAAGTCAATAAAGAATCTTTTGCATTTACAATTTAATAAAAGTAAAATCAGTAACAAAAAAATAAACACTTATTTTAGATAAACTTAAATAAGACCTCTAGAATTAAACGTGTTTCAGACCCTTTAAATATTTGCGAAATATGCTTGAGCCTTTTGAATTATGTTGACAAGTTACTGGTTACTTCAGCAAACCTTTTTATACTGATCTTTTGGTGTAACAAAGGTATTTATGTGTTCAAGGGTGTGCGGCATCGATGACGTAAAGCTACCGTATATCTTATCTGAAGGTAAAAAAAAAAAAAAAAAAAGGAAAAATCGTGAGTTCCATTCTCAACAACCCCTTTAGCAGAGTGTCCGCCAATCAGGTTCCACCTAAGAAATCCGCGGACCAATAGGAACGGCCGTTGTTGTGCGTGTGCGGTAACTAAGGACCGAGCTGCGGAGTTCTCCTGAACCGCGTCCACAAAAAAAAGTGTCCTGTTGCACGAGGATCTTTCCTTAGCAACCGTGGATAAACATGAGTTACTACAGCATAAGGTAATGTAGAACAAACACTGCGTACAATTTGTCTTTAATGTGTTGTGTTAGTGTTAACAGTGGAGTGAAAAGCCAGCCGAAGTAGTTACCTTTCTCATTTAACCGAGAAAACTGAACCACTGCCCACAACTTTTTTCTTTAAAGGAACCAATGCAGACAGTAGAGCCTGAAGTAGCTACCGTTAGCTTCAAGATGTAATACGCTCGGTATAACATTACACAACTGGTTAATAAACACATATGACAGTTAACTAAATGTAACGATGTAAATGCTTACTAAATGTAGAACACATTAAGCGTGCTTGCTGTTATTTATATATTACATAATAGCCTGTAAATTACTTTAAAAGCCTGTTGGAACCAAAACAACAAACACCAGCTTTACTTAAAGAGCTCATTCATGTTTGTATCTCCTTAACATCCTAACATCATCTGAAGCATGGAAGCATTTATGCAATTTATTTCCTTGAACTATTTTTCGTCGAAACATGACTAATAAAAAAGTCAAAAGTGAAAAAATAACATAATAACATATAATAAATGTAGGTAGGTTTGTATTTGTCACATGCTCATACAGATGTGCAGTGAAATGTAAAGACTGTTCCGCAAAGGCCATGCAATAAACACTCAAATTACTTATACACATATACACAGTAAAATAGAAATATAATGTACATTTAAATAAAAGAATGTGCAAAATATAAAATATAGAATAATGTAAACAGTAAAGTGTCAGTGTGTCAAAGTGCAATGTGCAGATTGGAATGTGTGGTGTGTGTGCATCGTGTAATCACAGTTCTGTTTTGTTTTTTAACTGAGGATAAGATGGACTACACTGAATCCACACCCTATGTTATAACATATCAAGCCATCTGCATTACAAATAGCACTCTCTCTCTCGCTCTCTCTCTGTCTTTAGGTTTAGCATTGGCTACACTAAAGCTGAGGGCGAGTTGTAAAAATGTTTGCATTGCATGTTTGAGCATGCCTTTCTGTCGCAGTGTCTGTTCTGTGTCAGAGCATTCCTATAAGTCGTGTATGTTCTCACTCAAGCAACACATGATAAAACAAGTCAGAAAATGCACTTATATTCTGCATTTGGAAGCAACAGGAGTGATATGTGAAGAAAAGCCTGACGCAAGCAGCCAGACTCAGCCTTCAGCGCCAGAGTGCTCTCTTCGGTGTTCATGTGATGTCCACTCAGCTGCAGGTTGTTGAGTGGGCATCAGATGTGTTGTTGGATCTGTCATGTGTCTGTGTGTGTCTGTGTGTGTGTGTTTGCACTATAAACAATTTCAAACACTGGAGCAGAGGTCTGCTTTCATTCGGCAGGGAGTGGAAAATCAAAGCAGCTCCCACCCTTTCCTGTTATATTTCCTGTCTGAGTATTTGATTTTTCAGTCTGTAGATAAGGGCTCTCATTCAAGGCATAGCTACAAGATGCAGGATTGTGTCCTTCAGTTACAGTGACGTTAAAAAGTCAGTTTTTTTTTAAATTGCGTACAGCACATAAAAACAAACATGTTGCTTTCATGACTGAAAGAACATGTCCTACATATGTTGATGTTTTTACCTAAAACGTCTGTTACAGTCAGGAGAAACTGTTTGCTTTGTAACTCTGACAGTTTAGTAATGTGAGACTCTTTCCTGATCAGCACACCAGCTGTAGTGCACACTACTCTGTTGGGTCATCCAACCCAGACAGATTGTGTTAAAGTTCACAGATGGCTGACTGAGCTTTCCTAACAAGCAGCCTTCAAAGACACCTTTTGTTCTACGTTTTCTTTGCTTGTTATCACACACTTGTACTACTTACTTATAGCATTATACTAGTGTGCTACCCCCCCCCCCCCAATGTGACCAGTGATTAAAAATATAAGCATCTATCCTGTCCTTGCTTTATGTAACATTGTGTTTTTGCTGCTGCTTTCTTGCCATTTTCAAACATAGTTCAATACTGCCAAATGTATAAAAGTGTCTTGGCCATAAGAGGGATAAATGTATGAAAGTGAATTCACAACATTGGCAATCTAACCTTCATCATCATAAATCAATTGAAATAAATTCTGGCGGTTGAGCTCTGCACTACAAGTATAGCATGCGGTTGTCCAGAAGATTCCATATAGCCCTCTGGGACTCTAAAGAAACATCTCTGGTATTTGAAATGGACTTACTTTCTCATTGTTGGACACTGCATTGAAAACATTCCACTGAAGTTGCAGTTTTTGCTCTGTATTCATGCATTCATGGTTATTCATGGTGTTTCTGCATGAAAACTTAGTTTGTTTTTCGAGTGTTTGTTGTTGTGGTTCCTTTACCAGAAGAGTCAACCGTTCTGTCACACAACAGGCATTTCTTTGAAGCTTACTTAACAAAGTAACGCATCACTGTCGAAGAGTAATGAGTCGAGGGCTTCCCTTGAGATCCTTGCTGTCAATAGTATTATTATCAACTTGTTGTAGCGTATTTCCATCATTTGTTTTGAGCTCAATAATTACTCCCTCTGGTGAGTGATTCCCCTGCTTATCATCAGTTGACTTGTATGCTATTTTACCTCAGTCTCTAAGGGCAAACACACTGGATGCTTTCCCCCTCTGCTCTCTCTCTCTCTCTCTCTCTCTCTCTCTCTCTCTCTCTCTCTCTCTCTCTCTTGCTCTTGCAAATAAGCACAAAAAACGATAGGGAGGCTCTGGTTGCCTAGCAACTAGATTAAGGTCCCTGCAAGGTATCTGTTTTTAGAAAAGGTAATCTATAAATCTCAGTATATTGAGTTAACCTTTTTGAAGCAGCATGCGCTTCTTGGATATGATGATGATGAGGAACACAGACAGGAATCTGTTAGTCAGTAATCCAGTAATGTTGATAGGAAGGGCATTTACTTTTTGTAGAGATTTGTGCTATTTTAAGCTCAATAAATTCCCACTATTGCATAAAACTGAGACACCAGACAGACACATCTGCAGTTTGATTAATGCAGTGCCCCCTTTATGAGTCACAGGAAAGAGCCGTGACTGATTGCTGAGTCTTTCAGAAAGTTACTGGAAAGTTATCCAGAAATAAAGGGAACATGATTATTGCAACATTTTAGCACATGAAGCTGTCAGATAATGGAATATATATGCTTTTGTAGTACTTTGTCCTGTTACTATCACACCTTTCCCTAGCTGAATCCGTGTGCTTTGCCAGAAGAGTGGAGTCATGGTAACAGCTCCGAGCCTCCCCAACCACTGGTAGCTGTCACTCCCCTGGGTGGGACGAAGCTACTCTTTGTCAGTGACATAACTGCAGTGATGTTGGAGCCTGCGGGGCTTTCTGTTAGGTAGGACTGCACTGTGACTCTGAGCGTCAGTGTCAGGGAAGATTTTTGGGATACAGTAGATAGGGGAGTTTGGACTATAGCATTCCTGCTGCTGCATCCACTGTAAAGAATGGAGGATGTAAAGAATGGAGGATCTCAGCCTGCCTACAGTCGCTGGTCGTACAGGTAGAGCTGCACACACTGGCATGTCGATATTATGATGTTTTAGGTACTTAAAAATAGCATCACTTGTGTTCTTTCCAAGACTTGCGGTTCATTTTCTTCCTGCATTGCCACATTGATTATTGCTTCGGTTTTACAAGCTGTGTTGACGCTTGGGAAAGTGGTCTCTGCCAGGAAAGCGACAACAGCTACTATAATGTTTCTTCCGGTCACTTTGGCCGGCTGAACAGCTGATATGCAGTCAAAGATGTGCCTGTTGCTCATGTTTCTGCAGCCATGATGTCTTTACTTATTCAGAGCATCAGGCTGTGGCTGTGCTGTAACCAGAGTTGGTGATTTGCGTATGTGTGACCAGCCTTTTTTTTGTATGCTCTGGACTGCTTGATTGGATCACTATATAATTAAGTATGTGAATAAATATCCATCTGACTTAAATGACTTTGACTATAAGAATTTAGCCAAAAAAGGCTCAGCTATCTCTAGTTGTCACTGTTGGGATGTAACTTGTACTAAAAAGATTTAGCCTTTATTTGCACTGCAGGTCACTGAGTTTGCAGCTTGACCTTGATAATTGTAGAAGGATACAATAGAGACTTATGAGGACATCCAGTATGATCTGTGTAAAGCTCAAAACTACAGATTGCAATTCCCAGACAGCACTGCAACAAAGTCCCGCTGTCATTACACGCTTGTATTTACACGCTTGTATTTACACAATGTATCCACAGCGGCATTATATCGATGTCCTGGTGTGTGATTTCTCGTTGTGTTACGGCACTATAGAAGCCCGAGAGGCGCGATGAGAAAACAAGCAGCAAGAGCTTCACATACACACACTCAGACATGCACACACACACACACACACACACACACACACACACACACACACACACACACACACACACACACACACACACACACACAGCGCTCTTCTGCTTTGCCGCCTCTTACCACCTCAGATGCTGAATATGAGGCTGAATGACCTCCCCCCACAATTCTTCCTCTGTGCGTTAAACATTGAAGGCAAGACTCAACAGGGGGCGCAAATATACAACTTCAACTGGTGATATACAAGATTTAATTTGTTTTTTGTCACTACCATAATACACTTTCAGCATACATGGGAGTGAAATTACTTTCTTCTCAAATCAGGCACACTGATATGTAAACAATTAACTATTTTTAGGAAGCCATAGTTTAGCATTGGGCGTTACAAGTTTCACAATCCATCATGATTGTGAAAAGAGACTTCTTCTAAGCAAAAACGGTGGGATCATGGCTTATGGTTTTTTACATAAGTTAACTATTCAGGGGTAAAAGTAAAGCTCGACTGGTATTGCACAGTTTCCTGTTGGCAGAGGGCGGATGCTGTGCTTGCCCTATCTGTCAATTAAACATTTAGTCATTTGATATATTTATTTCTCTCTGAAAGCCGTGCACTGGCTCGCAGGGAGTTGAATAATTTAATCTTATCAGTCCTCCTTTTGTCCTTTATCCTCCCTAAATTGGAAGCTGACTTGCCTTTGGCAGACACTAAGTAATGCTACTTTCAAATTATTATTTTCCAAGTAAATTGGAAGACCTTTAATTAACATGAACAACAGCTAAATTGACCTGGTATTATAATAACATCCCTCTGGTTATTGCCATGCAATTTTCTTAATAGACTTGTCTTTTGAAAAGAAGCACTGACCCACCTGTCCTCTTGCACACTGAATTAACAGTGATGAATCATTACCATGACATTATTTAAATCTCCCGTGAGGAGTTTTTAGCTGGTTATGAAACAGCCTGACATTAATACAGATCTCTCAATGGTGATGAAGTAATTGACAGCATGCTGCACAACCTTTGTTTACACTTTCCACTGCCAGGATTCTTAATGAGATTTGACTAAAACTTCCTCACAGGAGCTTTGAAGCAGTTACATCATATAGGTCTTGCACTCTCTCTCTGAAGTCTATGTCATATTGCACATTTAGTATACGCTTCTAAAAAGCAGCCGGCCTAGTTTTATCCAATTCAATATTTCGATTTCCATGTACAGGTTAAAAAAAAAAGACACACAGCCCTTCGCAGTCCCCTCCCTCGATCAGTGTGTTAATCTCCACAGCTCTGTGTGAAAACCTCCAATTACAGCGAAGCTTAAGAAGTGGCTGCAGGTTTTTAATCAATGCTGGTGGAGGTGCACTGTTGACGGAAGGGAAAACGCCATGGTTACCTAGCTAACACACACACACACACACACACACACACACACACACACACACACAAGGAGGGGACAACAGTGTGTGTCCTTGTCTTGTCACCCAAGCTGTGATGGACTAATGAAACATTGATCGCTCACAGCTGTGATGAGGTGCTGTCTAAGTGTGACGTGTTTGTGTGTGCGTACGTGTGCATACGTGTGTTTGTACCATATGCACATGTTTTTCAGGAACATTATATGTCGGTGGGGACATACACACACATCCCCAAACAGATTAAAGTATTTATGATAGCACAAGGTTGTTGTCCTATTTTAAGTTACACCTGTTGCACAATTGCCCACTCTCTTCATTATCAGCTTGTTTTTACTGAATTAGATAATTACTGTTCTCCCAAAATGTCACCTCTGATGGAATTTATGAATTAAAATGCCACTTTTAGAGTACATCCAATACGAGTAGCTTTTTAGCATCAGTCTCTCAGACCAACATTTTTATTTGCCATATCTCCTCTGTCCCTCAGCGCACCACCTTCCCTCCTACCCATTCCCCACCTTAGTGTTCCGACCAATTCTACAAATAGTGCTTCTGTGTGGGCCGGACCATCTCTCTTCCTCCACATTGTTGCAGCGCTAACGAGTCAGGAAGGAGGGGTTCATGTGAAAAAAGAAACATGTATGAAATATGTTGGAGCCTCTGAGTGACACATAAATAAGCTGAAGAAAGCGCCGTCCCATCAGTGTGAACACAGAGCTAACAACAAACCTAGAGGGAGTTTGACTTCACTCTAGTAAAGAAAGTCATTACTCAAAGTTATATTTCTTTTTCTTGTTTAAAACATCATATATTATACCTTTAATTTCTTTATCTTGTTTCTGAACTTGTTCTGTTCCCTTCTTCTCCACATGTGCTGTGTTGCTGGTAACCTTGGTTCCAAATTGCTGTTTACCCTGAAGACCCTCCAGCTCTGCAAGCTTCTCTTCCAACTCGACAGCAAGGTAGACCCTGAAACACTTGCCAAGATACGCACATATAAAACTGTCTCAATCTGTGTCTGGAGGTTTTGGGTATAACATGGAACAACAGAAGGTTGGATTCGCTGGTAAAATAGTTTTATCCAAAGTAACCTACAACAATGTTTGTGAATTCATTGAGACTAACAGACATTGAAGAGGGTGAGCCTAACTGTTTTTTGAAAGGAGGTCGTTAGATTAAATGTGGCTTGTGTCCACCAGCACACACAACCAACAATGACTTCTTCATCTTCACATACTAGGATGGTAAAAAAAAACAGAGCCACTACTCCAGGGTCTACCATTGAGTTCACCTGCACAACTTTCACCCTTTCTTTCCTTAACATCCTCAATACCGTCATTAAAAAGTACCATCGTCCTAAACTCTTCCCTGTCACCAGCACTAGTTCTCAGAGGTCATAATGGCGTCCTGGGGGTCCATCTGTTTGCCAATGTCAACAGCGTTCGACGCTTTGAAAGGGATTTACGAGAAATGTTATGACACACTGGTGCAAGATGACGATGATTAGCTTCCAAGTAGATGTTTGGCTGCAGATGATGATGTTAATTTGAACACTGTGGACTCATTAAAACACCGCTTGGCTTTAATGAGTTTCCCGAACTCGTCACCGTTTGGTGTTCACTGGCTGTCCTTTAGAGATGAGCTGTGACGTCAGCAAGCAGGGACTTAGAGGTCCTTAAGACGAGTGTGTCATCACTTACACATTAGAGCTGTGAGTGACTGAGGGGGGGTTGGGAAATTGGAATGAGCCAGTCTGATAATGATGGACAGATATAGCTGACTTCTAATCGTAATCTGAGAATCCTTTCCTGTAAAAGGCTCATTTCAGATCAGCATTACATGAGTGTGTCAGGAGAAGATACAAGAAATGAGAAAGGGAGTTAGTGACCCACACATTACATCAACGTATAGGAGTGACTTATGAGACAGATACCGTAGGTCTCTGACCCAGCCTCTGACAGCACAGACTCCTGCTGTTGCCCTTCTCTTTGCTCTTGGTAGCTGAGCAACATGGGTCAGGTCCCTTCAGATAGGTGTCTTGGGTGAATGCCCAGAGGACCCAGACTGTAAGGCGTTTCCTCAGCTGGAGCTCTGGCCTTTTTCTGTTTTTGAGTTCTTTTCTTCAGTCATTTAAGAAAAAGAAAACACAGAAGTCGACGTTTTAGCTTTTTTGGTTCTAATCATGATAAGGTCATGACTTACTGTTTTAATTATATTACACACTACGTTTTATGTGATCTCTACATGGATGATCTACACATTTTAAACTGCTAGTCCCCTGAATATACCCTATTAACACACTAATTACTTTATGTTATATTAGACTTCACAGGATGCCAAGTCTTCTCAATATAAAGCTATAAATATGTGTAAAATCCAAGAGGCAACCTCCAGTGTTGAAAAATGAGGCCAATATGGAAATGCAGAAAAAATGCAGCAAATCCTGCAAATGCAGAGAGTGATTTTTTTCTATCTACCTCGACGTTTTATTGAGTTTGTGTTCAAATGTGTAACTTCTTATCACAAAGGTTTGTCTCTTTCTCTGCAGTGGCATTGAAGACGACAGCGCCACTCTCATGCAGCAGAAACTGAAAAAACAAGTAAGAGACCAATCTTCATTCACATTTCATGCCTTTGTTTTATTTTCCTTAACCTGTTATGTCCTTAATAACTTGTTTTTGTATTTTGCTGGTTTTTAAACTCATCTCCAGCTAAATGTTTAGTTTCTGTCCTAGCTTGTATTTTTTAAGTAGCTTTAAAACTTTGCACTGGCATTGCCCATGCAAAACTGATGCAGTTCATCTGTCTGCACACTCTGTCTTCCGGGACTTATTATTTTGACTTGATGAGAAACTAATCTGACTCTTCTTTTTGAGGCTACATAGACCAGATCTGCTGCTTATGACAGGATGATTAAAGTTTTGCCCTAATTGACTGAATTGACAACCAACACTGATCTGACAAAACTCTGCTGTAGCCTTCTATCTCATGGATACATACGCTGTAGTTTCAGAGCTAACCTGTTGTGTTACTGTAATCAGTTGCCAAGATAAAGGTGAAGTGCTGCGACGTTGCATGTTTTCTGCTCTGATGTCACCAAGGGGAGCCTGCCGTTTGGCACGAAAAGCTTCAACATCGCTGCGGTGGCATGCATCTTAGGGATTACAGTTGTTGGGTTCGGAAATCTCCGGTTTTTCACCTGCCCAGTCACTTGGAATTTTAATGCCTTCTTGCTGCTTAGGTGGAATTGTTTTCCTTTATCCACCCGTTACCTGGCATAGCACACATTTGTTCTCTTTTCATCCTTTCCTCCTGAGTCTCCGTTTGATGCTTTATCCCAAACCATGTTGATGAACGGCTGTGTTGGAGCTTTGATTTAAGCTGGTATAGCTGTACACCCCTATCTCACACATAGGGGAGTGAGGGACAGGAAGGCTAGACTGGGGAGTTCAAAGAGAGAGGAGGATTTAGTGTGGGGGGGCCTGGCTTAGTCTGTGTGTGTGTGTGTGTGTGTGTCTGTCCAGTTGTACAGCACACTAGAGAGTGTCTGCTTCTTATGTAACCTTTAAGGAAAAATACACATATACTCATGACAAGAGGGGGATCATCTTGATTTAAAAAAAACAAGATTAAAAACCTGAAAGTTTACTTTGTGCATTTTTAATCCTGAAATAACATAAAAACTGAAACCAACACCAACAAGCTTGGCTGCTCTGACCCTCTCACTTCTAGCGCACCTCACAGCCCCCTTTCTCTCTCTTTCTCTGTCGCTCTCTCTTTTGCCGGAGCACTAATAACTGCAGATCCAGTAAGCAGCAGTGACCCTGCGCGCACACAGCTACAGACATACATTCTGCCGATTGTGAGAGAGAAGCTTTTTCTGTCTGAGGACCAAAGAGAGCAACGAGGAAGCTGTTGGTTTATCGATTTGTAAGACATCCAGCAGAGGAATAAGGGGGGGAGAGAGACAGAGTCATGTCCAGCAGGAGAGCTGCTCTTTGTGGGATGAAATAGTTTTCAGCTGAATGCAGGAAAAATGGAAACCTGTTAACTTGGGCTCACACTTGTTGAGGATCTCAATGGAGCGGGTTGGTAACTTTTTTTTTCTGATATCTGTTTGTTTGGGTGATACATGTGTGGTGCTATTTTCATCTTCCTCTCTGACTTTCTGAAATGGAATAGAAAAATCGTGACCTCAAGTAATCGTTCAGCGATTTAATCCGCGATTGTTCTCTCAATTTTTTTGAATTCATATCTTCTACAAACAGAATTATATTTGAGTCTGTTTTTTTCTCGTGTTTTGGCTGACGCAGGAAAGACTGTTAGAGGCTGAATGAGGTTATATCCTGGTCTTGTTGAGTCCTCAACAAAGGAATGGATAATCACAATAGATTGGCTTAATTTAGCAATGAGACAGGAAGGCAACACAAAAAGTGTAATCTTGATTATATAGCATTCAGTCCATAGTAAAGGTTAATTATAAGAAGTCAACGAGCCTCACTTCTTATTTCCATATTGGTCAAACCAAAATCTTCATTCAGACTAGTCAGCTCGTCTAAAACACTCAGAAAATTGTCAAAATCCAGCACAATTTATTTAATATGGCTAAACATGGGACCACAGTTTGTGTCTATATGTTCACTATGCTTGTTTTCAACTGTCCAGTAGAGCTTTATGGCAGTAGCCATCAACTGGAGCTACAGCCCCGGCTAGTGGCCCGTCAGTTTGGACAAAGCATTGGACCGACATGGCAGGTCTACATTGATAAAAGTATTAATAACTGACTAGTCTTTCTAGTGCTGCCGGCTTAACGCACATCTCTAGTGGGGACACAATTCACTTTTCAATTGCTGAGAGGACTGTAACTTATTTTTGTTGAGGGGACTTTCAGTGGTAGACTACTAGCATTAGATTTTTGTAAAGTTAGGTGGTTCAGGTCTGGGGGTTTTTTATGCATCTTGAAATTGGGCAGTTGTTACAGATTCATTGATCACACAGATAATACTGTTGCTAACACTGTTACCCTTAAGTGAGATTTGTTTTTAAAATGGTAACATCCAGATTCAGATCATAAAGCTCTTACACTCATTACACATCTGGGATTAAAAGAATGGATGCATTAAGTAAAACCAGTTCAATTGCTTAGACACAATCTTAACAGTTGATTTTCTCAATGATGATCTTTAGAGGGTCACAAGACTGTTTTTCCCATTAATATCAAAGTAGTAGGCCTCTCTGCATTCCTGTCAATTGTTTTCACAGCGCTAGAAGCTGTAGTTTTGCAGAACTGGAAACAGTGACATTTGTTAGAGGCACTTTCCCAGCGTTCCCACAATGACTGATGAGTTCTGACAGCTTTTTGGTTGGGCAAATATGAGACTTGGCCTCCGTGGTCTCTTCCAGTTCACCACACAGCATCGCTAAACAGCACTTGTTGTTGTGCATTTGACGCACTAATTAACACGCTTGTGTAACCCAATGGCTGCGTTGACCCTCGAGAACGGGGCTTTTGGGGTAAAGGACAACGGGACAGCAGCATGACAAGAATATTTGTTTGTATCTTTATCCCAGCCTGTGCTGTCAAACCTCTGGATAAAAGTGACATGTCACTGAACATTTTGGTGGATCCTACCTTTTGTCTTTGCCAAATCTTTTTAGGGTGGATTCAAAGCCGTTCTTGACTGCAGAATAAAGCAAAGCACCAACAGAGGCTCTTGCAGCTCCCATTATTTCAGCTATTCAGTAAACCCATTCACTGCACTCTGAGGTATTCTGGCATTCTGGCTTGGGTATGATTGTTGGCTTTTATACATTTATTTTTTTGTGTCTCTCGTTTGGCTGCACTCTTGAGGTTATTCATTCTGTTGTGAGTCATCGTGTATTCACATAACTGCACTGTGTTTTTGCTTTGTCTACTCGGTGTGGGTGTCTATCTCTTTACTGTGTCATCAAATGAACCGGTATGGATTTTTCTTAACCGAGTGATATTTTTATTACATGAAAAATCATTTTTCTTTTATTTCTGTAGCATACAGGACTATGCGGGCCTCCTACCTCCTACTGTAGGACCTGAGGTTTTACAAAAAAGCTGTATACTGTGGCCCCTTCTACGCATTTCTTGGTTCCAAGTTATGTTGTCATTGCCATATGTCAGCGTCTGCAGGGATATTTTGGCTTCACTTTTGTACAATGGAAGGAGACACGCTGTGCTTATACGTTTATAGTCACCGGTTCTATACAATAGGGCTGCTTTTTGTAAGAGTCTCCCCTGGCTGGTTGTTAGAAGTGATACAGGTCGGAGGCACTTTTCTGCATTGGCTTCATTTTTTAAATGAGGAGTATTAATCCATTTCCTACAAAAAATATCTTCTGATCTACACAGGTCTCTATTCACAGTTGTCTAGTTATAGTATAGCACATGCATGGAGTGAGATGAAATGTCTGCTCTCCTGTTTGACCCACAGAGAGCTCTCCTGGAGCAGAAGCAGAGGAGGAAGCGTCAGGAACCCTCATGGTCCAGCCGAACACAGAGACCCGCCCCCGGCGCTCCAGGACAGGGCGGGGCGAGGAGCAGGCCCCCTTGGTTGATTCTCAACTCAATGTCACCAACGATGTAATCATGGACGGTGAGGAAAACTCCCCCTGTTGTTTTTTTAACATTTGTATTATTTCTGTACAACAACCTTACCTTTTCAATATATTCGGCTTTAGGCATTGATGGCCCAGCAGCTTTTTTAGGCTCAGAAGCCTCTGACCAGGGGACGAAAATACAAATCCTGTCTGTGAGCCAGTCCCAGTCCCCTTCTCAATCTCAGTCTCAGTTCAAGGTACAGCCTCATTCTCAGCCCCAGTCCCCCGCTGCTGAAGAGCCTGAGCGAGACGGAGACACTGAGTCGCTCCTCGAGCCCAAACAGACATCCACGAATTACTGAAGAAACAAGGTAAGTCCTGAGAGAGCTTAAGGGATTTAGATAAAAGCCTGGAGAAAAGAAGGCTGCATTTTTTTAGAAGAGGAAAAGCACTTTGCTGTTTTTTACTGTTGCTGCATCATTTGTTCATCCTTGGAATATAGCTTTCCGAACAAAGAAAGTTTACACTTGGATTTGAATATGTTGGAGCAACATCAACACATCTCTCAACAACTCTACAGTATTATCTAAGGCTGAGGGAATAGTATGAGTCAACCTCACGCTATCAGAAATAGCACACACTGCTGGAAGTTTCATTTTCGGTGTCAGAAAAGCTGCTTTCACACATGCACTCCTGAAAATTCATCCGGAAAATTCAGGACGACGTGCCCCTGAAATCTTTCTGAGTTTCTTATTCGCAAAAGTCCCTCACAGCGTGAAGTTTCCCCGTCGAACAGGAGGGGGCGATCTCAGGAGGCGAGATGTAAAAAGGCTGTTGCACACCCAGAACATTATCAGGAGTTTTAGTGCATGTGTCAAAACAGCTAATGATGAGTAATCGATAGAAAATTACAGTTAATGGTTTCAGAATCCTTTTAAATGACTTAAAGGAAAATTAATGACTTTTTAAATTATTCAAATATTATAAATCCATTGAACCTTTAGATCATTATATGACCAGAAAAGATGCAGATAGTTTAAATCTAAGTGTCAATCTAGCTCCATGAGCAGTTTAAAAATGTGCATTTGTCACTTTGTCTGTGGAGTCTGATGCTGTTTTACAAAGAAGCAGGATGATCTAATATCACGTTGTGTGTTAAACACGAGGTCTTTGTGGTCAGGGTATGAAAGATGAACAAATAATAATCAAGGTTAAAGATAGAGAACAGTGTCTTCATGTCTACCCTGTATGAAGTCTTATAAGTCTGAGCTGATGTAGTTGTGTCTAAACATCAGAAGCAACTTAAGCAAAGTTAGACTTTTCCATATCCCTCAGACTTCAGCCCTCTGTTGCTGCAGTATAGAACGGATGCAGACAGCGGCGTGATTGATGGCGGCGGAGCCCAAAAATGGGTCATTTAATAATAGGCTGGGGCATTGTTCATTCTGCAGAGCTCTACTGTGGCATCATTATAGCTACTGCCACCCTCATCCAGCAGCCTGCTGGCAGGGATTCATAAACTTTGTTGACAATGTATTCAAACGTAGACAAGGATAGGTTGTGTTTTGGTTGTCAAAATGTCATAACTTGACACTTTTTAATACCATGTGTTTTAAAATGATGCAATCTTTACTATTTTAATGATGGATGGTATTCAAAAGTACAAGAGCTTTAAAAAACAAACACTTCAGATCTTCACTCTTGATCAAAAGAGAAGTAGCACTGTTTTAATTGCACAAAAAACATTGCCAACGTTTCAGTACCGAATCGTTGCCAACATATTTTTGCAGTTCAGACGGTGGGCAGGAGTTTGCCTGAATTCTTTGATAATTACTAACAAAAGCTGACCCACCATTGGGACCCTGGGACTTGCATTTCTGTTGCTGTGGTATCGTTATAAGTATTGATATTGTCTGATTTTTAAAAAAAGCGAATCAGAGTTTGAAAATGGACAGTGGAGGGGACATGTTCACCTTTATTTAAAGACTAGACCGCTATACATTATGTAACAGTATCATCACAGTGCAGAGACACAATTTCTGCAATCCTGTGTCAAATTATCAAATCCCTTTACTGATACCTTTGTTTCCTGGGCTTTAGTGTGACATGATGCTACAGCAGCATCTCAATCATCCAATGGCTAATTGTTTAGCAAATGAATATATCGAGAAGAAGCAGGTTAATTTCCGTGTAATGTTCTTGACCTGGTGTGCATTATTTAAAATGCAGAAGTGTGTGGCTTTATTTTGAAGGTCTCTGACATTTCCTGGCAGTTGACTCCATGAGCCGCTGACTAACACGACTCCGCTCTGTGTTTTAATTGGAGCCCTTGAGTCAGGGTTTCGAGGGACGCTAACATTTACAATCCATATTTCATGATGATTCATTTGTTCTCTCAGGGTGAGCTGCGGACCCGAGGGGTAAATACCCCTGTGTAAATATTGTCTTTCCACTGTCTTATTGTTATTCTATATATGTGCTCCCACCTTCATCTGCTCAGGATCCTGCTGGCCGGCTGTTATAGAGTGTGTTGATTTGTGATGTGTGTATTATTTTTGTTGGAAAATGCTAAATAAAATATTATTTAAAAAAAAAGAGTGCAATGTCTAAAGCTGTCTAGATCGGCCGTCTGTTTTACATCGACATGAGGGCATGCATTTCTTTGCATTGTTCTCACCCCTCCAGAAACCAATTTATAAAATATCAAAGCTTTGAGTCCTGAGCAGAGAATAAATCACATTATTCTGTTTGTTGAAAAGCACTTTCAAGACGACTCATCTCTATCCACTTTCCTCTTTTGCGTTTAAAAAGCCTCCACTCTTGAATAATAATATTCCGCCCTAAATGTCAAAGAAATACGAAAAGAGTGTGCTGCAACCCTTGCCTCAGCATTGCGTCAATTCATGAGAAATGAGTCGTAATCAAATATCAAAGACCATGGATGACCCAAAAAAAAGGAAATCCACAGCAGGGACAATTTGGTACAAAAACCAAAGTCTTTGAGTTTTCCCTTCATGTTTTATTAAGGCTTTCATGTATCACTCTTTCACCTCCTTTCCTTCTTTAGGTCTGTGTGGCAGCATGAATTTTGATGAAGACAGCGAGAATGAGGACGACGGGGAGGAAGAACGGACGCGTTCTCTGTCCCCGAACGCAGACACAACGAGACCGGATTCAGCCGCCAGTGGAAAGACATTCCTGTGAGTACACTGACTTTGAGAGTAGACTTCACATCAAATTCAAAGAAGGCCATTTTTATTTTTTTTTAATGGCTGTTTTTATTGTTCCTAGGAGCTGGTAACCCCCGGATCGCCCACGGCTGACAGCGCACTTATCGATGTGGCCAATCTGGAGGAGTTCGTCTTCCTTCCAGCTCCACGCGGCGTCACTGTTAAATGTCGGATCAGCCGGGACAAGAAGGGCATGGACCGCGGACTCTACCCCACCTACTTCATGCACATGGAGAAAGAGGACGGCAAGAGGGTGAGTACCTGTCTAATGTGTTGATGTAAATGAAATGATCAGTGGATTATTAGTCCCACATAGTTAGACTTTTCTCTGGCATTCATAATAAGTGGCCTGACTGACTGACTGACTGACTGACTGACTGACTGACTGACGGGCGTGCAGCTGTTTGTCAGGAGACCTTAGGCCCGCCTCAGCTCCAGCTCTTTGCCTGTTGCTAGGTTGACCAAAAGTTAGAAAGAATTTCCAATATGGCAACCTCCATCGATGTGCATCGAAAGTCGGCTTCAGAAATGACATGACATGGATGACATGATGAGATGAGATGAGATGAGATTCAACTTTATTGTCATTACACATATACAAGTATAGAGTAACGAAATGAGGTTTGGCATCTCACCAGAAGTGCAAATAAGCAGAAAGTGCAAGAGTCTGTGCTATGTACAGTAATTCTGTGCTATGTACAGTAATTCTGTGCTATGTACAGTAATTGCAAAATTTACAGATGTAGCCAAAAAAAGTGAGTTATTAGGTAAATCTGGATGGCTGGATTAATGGGATGCAATAAATATAAATAAATGCTATAAATAAGTAATGCTACAAAATAAGTGTGTTCTTAGGATTATAATATACAGATTAAGATGCAGTGAGCATGCTATACTAATAATATACAGATTAAGATGCAGTGAGCATGCTATACTAATAATATACAGATTAAGATGCAGTGAGCATGTTATACAAGTTTACAGATAATTTAAAGAATATGAACATACTATAGTACAATAATACAGATGGATGAGAGATGAGTGTGTGTGTGACCAGGAGGAGAGGTGGGGGGATGATGGGTGTGAGGTGATATGGAGGGGAAAGGGGGGTCAGCAGGGTGCGGAGAGAGAGAGGGAGAGAGAGAGAGAGAGAGAGAGTTCAGAGTTCGGGGGGTAGAGTTCAGTAGAGAAACAGCTCTGGGGAAAAAGCTGTTCCTCAGACTGAGACTACGTCCATGTGTTATACAATCAGATTTTTTTGACATATTCAGGTGACATTTCAAGAATACTTTAACAATTTACACACATTCGATTTCATAGCTTAAAAAAATACATTCAAAATTATTAAGAAGTATTGGAAAAAACACAGATGGACACAGTCATCTTTTTATTTCTTACATTCTTGACTTTATTTATAATATAAATGGGAAGCGGATCATCCAAAGTTGTTGCTACAACAATATGTTTTGTTTTTTCTTTGCAGGTGTTTCTGCTGGCAGGTAGGAAAAGAAAGAAGAGTAAGACGTCTAACTACCTTATTTCAGTGGATGCCACTGATCTGTCTCGAGAGGGAGAGAGCTTCATAGGTAAACTCAGGTAGGCCCACACTCACACTGCTCTACTGCACAGGACTCAGATGTTTAGTGTGATTGGTGTAAACATCTCATCAACAATACGTTTCCTATCAGATCCAACCTCATGGGCACAAAATTCACCGTGTACGACAACGGCACCAATCCCTGCAAAAACCCCGGAGCGCTACTGGAGGAGAGCAACAAACGACAGGAGCTGGCAGCCATCTGCTACGTGAGTCAATAACAAAGACTGACGAGTTTAGTTTGATGCAAATGAGTTCCTTCATAATGTGTTAATTTAAAACATGACTCTGTGTGTATCGTTTGGCAGGAAACCAACGTGCTGGGATTTAAAGGACCACGGAAGATGACAGTTATCATCCCGGGAATGAACATGAACTTTGAGAGAGTTCCTGTGCGACCTCAAAGCGTGAGTTTGACATCAGAACTTGTTCAGCTCAGTTCTTTGTCTACAGTGTTGGACATGACTAAATCCCTGTTTCCACTAAGCAGTCCGGTTCATCTTGGTTCTGTACGGTACACATTTATTGGCGTTTCCAGAGACAAAAGTTGGGGATGGTTACCAAAATAAACAATTCTTAGGTCCTACTTTTTTGCTGGAGACAGAAACATTCTTTCTGTATCGACCTTTCTATGACAAGTTTACAGAAGCCAGATCTGTTTTGTTGTCAAAGAATACATTTCTATTTCAAAGATCTTAAAATATATTTATGTAGAGAGTAAACATTTGTACATAGAGAGAGCACAAGAGCAGATTTTCAGCCCTCATTGTATCACCCGCATTCTTTGCTTCTTTATAGAATACGATCGTTGTTATGCTCTCGGTTCAGACCTCTATATGTGTGGAAGTCTGTAGAGCTTAACCTTCTCTTTGGATAAGTGGGTAATGAGATCGTGTTGGTACCCAGTGACATTTAAGAAATCCGCTCTCACTTTGATTGAATGCATTCATTCATTCATTATTCTTATTATTCAGGAGCAGGATAGTCTCCTGAGCAGGTGGCAGAACCACTCCATGGATAACCTCATCGAGCTGCACAACAAGGCCCCCGTGTGGAACGACGACACCCAGTCTTACGTCCTGAACTTCCACGGCCGCGTCACCCAAGCCTCGGTGAAAAATTTCCAAATAGTTCACGACAATGACCGTGAGTGTCCTACCTCTTCACCTCTATCATATTTGTCACTAGTGACACTCTGTAATATTATTCTCCTGTTTCCCTCCTGACTCCAGCCGACTACATCGTCATGCAGTTCGGCCGAGTGGCTGAAGACATCTTCACTCTGGACTACAACTACCCCATGTGTGCCCTCCAAGCCTTCGCCATCGGCCTGTCGAGCTTTGACAGCAAGCTGGCCTGTGAATGAACTCCCACTTTAGACTTCCAAATCGACACATTTCCTGCCCGCCCTCGAGTCTTTGAGCATACTCATGATCTTTTAGTGGGGTTATTTCTAAATAATAATCAATAAATCAGTTCACACATTTTGCACAGTTAATGTGTTAATTTGTGTACACTCTTAAAGGGAAAGTAAAACACACCTCTCCTCTGTGGACAGCCAGTACAAGAAAGAACTGATGTTTAATTTATGACTCACAGTTTGAAGGCCAGCGATAAAGTGTATGAATCATGTATTTTTACTTTTTCTCCTGTTACCTTGAAATGAAATTTCCCTGTTTTTTTTTTTTTTAATCACACTAGCAGCTGGTATGTCTCTTATTAGAACATCCATTATTTGTTGCCTGTAATCTGGCGCCACCCTTAGGCCAAAACTCAGAATTAGTTATTAACAAGTGACAGAGCAAATTTAAGTTTTATTCTCTTTTTTTTCACATCCATAAAACCATACTTTTAAACTACTGTACATACTGTTCATTGTCCTCCAGAGTTCCTCTTTTGTTTACATCTTTAAATGTGTCTGAATTGTTAAACTGTCTGCTCTGATGCTACACTTTAATTTTCATGTTTCATCCCTGTTGTTAACATTGTGTGGAAGGTGAACTGTTGTCTTACATGCCATATTTCTTCTGTTTTTTTTCCTTTTCTTTTGTGAATAAGTATCATCTGTATCTTGTGACTGTGATTTTTCTTTATGGAAACACGTTGGGTTATCGTGGAAAAAGAAAACATCAATGCAGAATTGCACAATTTAAAAAAAAAGAAAATATACATACTGTACATAATACCAGGTGACACCCTCTTATTTGGTGCCTTTTAGTGTTGTTTTGTTTTAACAAAAAGTGTAATTCCCAGAAATGTAATTTAAGTTAAAGATGAATACTCTACACACAGCTTTTATTTTGGCAGCACAGGAGTCACCCAGGTCGGTTTCTATTAGAAGAAACTACAAGAAATCTCCTGTCAGCACAGACTCCAGATCTGTGGCATTTAGAGTGGAGATGCAGTTGGTGCTAAATTTGTACTAACCACATTTAAGTCTTATTTCAACACCTACAAGATAGAACTTCCTGTGCCTCTTCTTCTGTATCTACTCCCTTCATATAGAGGGAAACTTAAGGGAAAACAATCCAAAATACTTTACATCATTATTAAATATCCTTCATGTTTTGTCTACTCTTTGAATCATGACCTCTGTGGAGAAAACATGTTAAGGATCATTATTACCACAAAGCCTAGAAATGAAATCAGAGCCTCTTTACAAACAAACCATGCCCTTCAGAGTTGTGTCGTGCTTTGACTCGTCCTTAACACGTAAAGATTCATGTACCTGGTTCATGTGAAGGGAAACTGTTGTTGCAACGTGTTTGAATTAAGTGTGCCAGGAATTTATGAAAACAATTAAGTTTTTGTCATTTGTGTTGTGCAATGAAGAGATTGATTGACTTTGAATTCTATGCTTTTACTTTGGGACACAGCGAGACATTTGGAAAATTAGCTGACGTATAAAGCTGTATTTTTTTTTTTTTTTTTTTACAAATGGAGATTATATCACAGAGAGATTCATGTATTGAGTGAAAAGTTTATTTTCATGAACACAACAGATTTGACAGAAAAACAAAACGTACTTAATTCCATCGATATAAAACATCTGAATTACCAAAACAAAGAAATTGTAATTAATAAAGTGCTTCTTATATTTGAACTACATGGTTGCATGTCTTTATTGCTGAGCAGAACTTCATTGAATATCATCTACTGTTGATAACATTTAATACATTTGAAGGTTTTATAACAGCAGTTTTAAATCCAAACAATTAGCATCAAGCTAATGAACTCTGCTAACAGTGCTGCTCTTGTTTGATTTCAACAAATGTCTATCTCCCTGGGCAGCTCTTTGTATTTGATAAGGTAGTATGGATAGCACTGACAGCTGTCAAAAACTACAAACATGGTGGGATGGTCCATGTTGTCCACGCAGGTGTCGTAGCGACAGTACTGCTTCGCCTTGGAGCTGAGCGGAGGCGGCCTGCGGTAGTTATTCCTTCCGATGCTCACCTTTCCAACCAGGACTTTGGCGAGGAACATGTGGCGGACCTCGCTCGGCCCCACCTTGGCTGAAAAGGTGTTGGAGAACGAGGCGCTGGTAGCGAAGTAGGAACCGTAACCGTAGGACGCTCCGTTAACCCCGGCCACGCGCGGGTCGAAGTTGTCGTGGCAGATCTCCTCCGCGGCGTCTCCGGTCGTGCCGTGGAAGAGATGTCGCTCCAGCGGTTCCTTCTGCTTGGCGTGATGCTTCTGCATGTACACCTTGTGCCTGTTTGGAACATAAAAATCAAAGTGTAGCCTGTGTTTTAGGATGCATTTCTCCTTCACCTTACATAAAACCAATTTCAAATATGCACTGGGACAAATGAATCACAAGAAACACTATTAATGCACAGATTATTCAATCATTTATCCATTTATCAACAAAATACAGCTGTTGCTTCAAGGTGGTCAAATCAAAGAACTTTGTAGATATAAGACGTTTGAGTATCATCAGTATTGTTACCTGTTTTTTGTCATTCTGCAACTACTCATCACCTTCTAGAAAAATTCTTGGAACAGGTTCCTCGGTCCTGCAGATTAATAATTAAAGCTGTTTCCCATGACGCTTGGTTGAAAAAATAATTGGGATTGCGTAATCCACATTTGGTGTATGTCGGATCTAATCGAAATAAACTACACTTCCCAAGTTTTTCCAATGTAGTCGAATTATAGTTTTGTAGTTCTATGGCTGCATGGAAATATTTGCTTTAGATACTCAGGATCATCTTTGTCAAACCCAGCAAGTATAAGAGTCTTAAACAGAAGCCTGACCTCTGGTACTTATCCCAGTGGAGTTGGTTCTGGACCTGCTGGATTTGGATGACGTCCACTTTGGACTCAGGCAGGCTCTCATAGAAGAGGTTTTGGACCGTCTGGTAAACCTGTGAGCCCATGGGTACGTCCACTAGGCTGTAGTCCTGCCCTACAACCAGAGACCACACAGGAGGATACCAGGAGGTGAACTCCTCCAGAGGGTTAACGCTGAAGTTAGCTGCTGAAGGTTCAGTCTGGATTCCAGTCCTGAAAGAAAAAAAGTAATGAAGAGGAACTGGACCATGTGATTGTTAAGACACATAAGAGATCCAGAATACTCACTGCAGGTAAGGTCGCATGGACTCCGGGGAGCGGTAGACGGGTCTGCAGCGGACGTCTCTCTGGAAACCCGTGGTGACGTTGGTCTGGGTCATAGTGGTGAAGTCCACTTTGTACTGCTGAGCGCCGATGTTGAAGGAAAACTCGGGTTCTTTTTTACTCATGCTGTTGAGCAGCAGGGCGGAGATACTCTACAACAACATGAACCAATGAAATGGAAGAGAGTAGAGGACGGGCAGAAAAAAATACAAGAAAATAATTAAAGACAGAGGGACTCGGGTTGATATAATAAACACACAATGGAAAAATGGACAGGAATAAAACGACAACAGAAGGTAAAAGAGTGAAAGGAAGATAAATGGTCTTTAAATGTGCCACGCATTAAGGGACGTCCAAACAAAATCAGTAAATAAAGTCAACATTCACCTCCTCGTACTCGTCCCAGCTGAGATTGTTCCACCAGTAGATTTTCCATTGGTTGGGAAAATGCTGGTTCCTGAGTGGATTGTCAGAGTTGGTGAGTCGTCTGACCCTGTCATACTTCGTCTGATCGTCCAAATCCATCATGTCAAAGCTCAGAGTGTTGTGGGCATTCCTGAAGGGAGGATAAAAAAATAAAATAAAAATAAAAGCGTATATGGGCGTGATTACACAAGTGTGTGAAAACAACTGTCTACCAGATCGGGCAACTATTTATCCCCTCAATATTCTGACAAACGCGCCTAGATTTAAAACAAACCCCAAAAAGCAGTCATTTGTTTGTTTACTTTTTTATTTGATTTGTTACACTTTATTTATATCTGCACTGAAAATAGTCCCGCTGTAAATTGTATGAACTGCTCTGAAAAAAAGACATTCAAAAGATGTTTTTTGTTTTATATCCATTATAATATATTTGACTCCTGTCCAGCCCTCTTACTCACCCGTCTTTGATGAAAACGACCTCTTGATTGACGTCACAGTAAGACCTCTCCATTAGAAGCTGAGAGCGAGCGGGGAGGTCGATCCATTGGTGGGCGCTCACGGCCCACAGCTGCCAGTGAAACGGGTAAGGAGTGTGGTGCATCTTACACGTTTTACCCGCGCGGCACAGATTCAGCAGGAAGTTGTCGCAGATAAGCGTGCAGCCGCAGAACTTGGTGTGGAAAGGAGACGGGACAGGTACATCTGACGGGACTTTTGGCTTGGTGGGGGTAGCCGTCGGGGTGTGGACGGCTGGTTTGACCTCTTCCTTTGTAGGGGTGCTTGGCTGAGTGACAGGCAGTTGGGTGATGATGAGTGGAAGAGGGACGATGAGGGAGGTGTTTTGGATTGCAGGGGTCATCTGTGTTTGCCCTGAGTGGCTTGGTTGTGTTTGGGTGCTGTTTTGGGGGAAAGTGAGCACGATGCAGGACGTGTTCTGGGTGGCGCTGTGCTGTTGACCGATGGACTGGATGACCATGTGCGGCTGAACGAGGCTGTAAGAAGTTGCCTCGCTGCTTTCGCTTTCACTTTCACTGGGAGCTGTCGTCTTCCCCTGTGCGGAGGTCAGAGGGGTCAAATGAACACTGACGCTGTAAGGGTTGGAGGTCCAGGCGACGTCAACCTGCTGGGATCTCATGGCGTCCCACACTGGGAGACTACAGTTGGTGTCAGCAGGGATTTCCAGCAGGAGGAGAGACGGGCTCAGTAAGGTGACTTTGTGAGGTTTGGACGAGGTCTCTGAAGATAATGCATCTTTTTCCACCTTTCTCTTGCGCCTTCTGGAGGATTCAACAAAAGGCATCTTGGATCTCCTGTAAATCACTGAGAACATTTGTTTTTTTTCAGTCAATGAGCCTAAAAAAACAATGAGGTAAGTCTCAACTATGCAAACAAATACATAACAGAATGCATGGTTTTATACTGTAATGGCAGTGAGATTGAAAAACGTGGTTTTAATTTAAGTCAATGAGGCATTTTTGGCCATAAGGGTGTCCAGAGGGAGTATCAGGCACTCCATAAAAAATACTAATGCAATCAAATCAATTTTGTTGCTAATCTTTGACATATCCAAGACTCTATTCACCACCAAAGCCCCACCCCCGACTATTTATTATATGGAAAATCATTTATTTTTTGTGTTTTTTTTTGTAATAAGTAATTAATTATTCAAGTCCTCAGGGTAGTAAATTTGAGGAGGGCACATGGGTTAAGACAGCAAAGAGGACATAGTAAGTTAGCTTGGGGAATTATAAATATAATTGAAACCCCCTCCTGTTTGCCACCAAGAACTCTGGACTAATAACTCTGAAACTATCTATTCAAAAGTACACTCAGTTTACTGCACATTGCATATATTGCACAAGTTTACTTTTTCTTTACATTTTTATTTTATTTTATTTACCATTTTATTTATTTTATTGACCATTTTGTTTTGTATCTTTTGCACAATTTAGAATTTATTACTGTAAATATTATTTATCTTATTTTACCTCATTTTATTTTACCTTATTTTGGTTGTATTGCACCGTGGGACGGAGACAAACGCAATTTCGAGTCCACTGTATGTCTGGCATATTTTGAAATTGACAATAAAGTTGACTTTGACAACCAAAGTACCATACATCACATTTTATTAGCTTAATGCAATTCTGTTATTTAGAATCCAAATACTTAACATTAACATCCTGGAAAATGTGTCTAAATTAATCTCTATCAATTGTCATTAATATAACTATTTATTTAAATTTTTACCAGCACAAATTTTACCCAACAACTCACCTGTAAAGGTGTGGGTTGCCACCAAGAACTCTGGACTAATAACTCTGAAGATATCTATTCAAAAGTACACTCAGTTTACTGCACATTGCACATTTTCCACAAGTTTACTTTTTCTTTAAATATTTATTTTATTTTATTTACCGTTTTATTTTATTTTATTTTACTTACCATTTTTTTTAATTATTTACCTTTTTTTTTTTTTTTTTTTACCATTTTGTTGTGTACCTTTTGCACAATTTAGAATTTATTACTGTAAATATTATTTATCTTATTTGACCTCATTTTATTTTATTTTATTTTATTTACCGTTTTATTTTATTTTATTTTATTTACGATTTCATTTTTTTATTTACCATTTAAAAAAAAAATTATTAACCATTTTGTTGTGTACCTTTTGTACAATTTAGAATTTATTACTGTAAATATTATTCATCTTATTTTACTTCATTTTATTTGATCTTACTTTGGTTGTATTGCACCGCGGGACGGAGACAAACACAATTTCGATTCCACTGTTGAATTGACTTTGATAACCAAAGTACATCACATTTTATTAATTTAATGCAATTCTGTTATTTAGAATCCAAATATTTAACTTCCTGGAAAACGTGTCTAAATTAATCTCTATCAATTGTCATTAATATAACTATTTATTTAAATTTTTACCCAACAACTCACCTACAAAGGTGAGGGTTTAACAGACTTGCTGAGCTAGTGTGTAGCTACATGCAGCATTAGCTCTGCGGTTGTAACAAGCTAATAAATAAAGTTGAAGGCTAATTAATATAAAGCTAATTTCACCGTCTGAAACCTTACTAACACCTGCTGAGGCCTGAGGCGTTTATGAAGCAGAAGTATGAGAAACAATTTGACACAAAAGTGAAGAAAAGAGCAAGTTACACTCACAGTTTGTTGAAAGAAATGAACTAAAAGCTGGCAGGTCGGTGAAAGAAGTGACACACTGCAGGATGAAGGTCAAGTGGGAGGGGCTTATAGAGGTGTTCAAACTTTAATGTTCACACAGCACATTTTCATTTTTGAAAATCATTTATTCGTGAAATTAGCACTCATCAGTGACATCATCAGTAATGGCACATAAAGCATCATTTGAGCCATAAATCCAGTGATCTGAACACATTGTGGAAATTAAAAACAAACCATGTTCAGCTACTGTCATGCACATAACATAAAATATATCAATGTTTGAATCATCAAAACAAAACCAATATTTATTTAGGATATTTTCAGGCTTTAAAAAAAACAAAAAACACTCATTATGATTGAGATGATGTTTTTTTTCCACAAACAAAGTGTTTTCAAAGTGCAGAGGTTAAACTGAAGTGAGCTCTCCAGGACTACAAACTGAACAGACAAAGATTTGTTGTGTTTTTAACTGGAGAAAGGTCGAAGGATGTCGGAAAATGTTAAATGTTAAAATTATGTGATTTGATTTCAGATTCTGAGCGCCTGCCTATCTCCCCTTCCTGCTGAAGAAAACTGGAATTTCAACAATACCCAACAGCTTTGACAGAAACCTCCAGTGGTTCCACTCTCAACGGACACTGCTGACAACCCACCCAGAAGTACGGAAAAACTTTCTCGCTGAGGCCGTTCTTGAAGGTGTAGATGTGCGTGTTGTCTTGGGGGTCGTAGAAAGACACCCTGCCCTTGTCACAGTCCAGCAGCACCCTGATCTTCTGCGGGTTCTTCTTCAGGGCAAGTCTCGTCAACGGAGAGGTGCCGGCAAAATGCATTTTGTGGTAGTAGTACACACACAGGTATCCGTTTTTTAACACCGAAGACACTTTCTCTTTCCTCACGACCGATTCTTTGGCCACGCCGACGACCCACGCTGTGTTGTCTCCCACGCTGACGTCCCAGGCGTGTTTCCCCGACGTGAAGCCCTCGCGGCCCAGGACGGCCGTGTCCGGGTGGAATCTCTCCGGGTTGTCGGGCAGCTTCTGCCTCTCCTCACTGTCACAGACGCTGGTGAGGTCGTCTGACAGGACGAGCCACGGGGCAGCTGTGTTGGGATCCAGAGTCACCGGGCCTGAAGAGAACATGGCAGACTGTCAGCCGTCTCTACTCTGACTGTATCTCATTCTGCATCCACAGCTTGTATTCACCTCACAGTGAGGGGGAAATTCATCGGACAGTTAGAGGAATAAACCTCACGATAATCTGAATTTAAACTAGATAATTTACTCACTGTATTTCACAATTGTTTGCATCTTCTCCCAAACATGGAATCCCAGAGAACCCAGATACTTAGCCACATCTATGAGCGATTCAGGAGCATTGACGGGGTCTTCGACTGGGCAGTTTGCTCTTTAAGGAAACAGAGTTAAAAAAAAAAAGAAAAAAAAAAGTAAACATCTTGTTATAAAAGCACAGAAAATAAAAGCTGAAGAGCTAATTGTTGTTTCACCTTGCCAAAGTCCTCTTGCATTTCTGAAAAAAGAGAGAGAGAAAAAAAGAAAAACTCACACAAGAATCCCAAAAAAGATCTTTAAATATTTGTGCAATCTTTGGAAACGTACCTGAAGTACAGATATGCCCTCCAAAGCGAGATCCTCCTCCAGAAGTCGGATCGACTCGGTGACGGATGTTATCTGTCCGGTGATTTCTTGGATCTTCTGCATCATCACTCGACTCTTCTGCTCTTCCTCCCCCCTCAGCGCTTCCATCCTGGCGTCCTCCTCGGCTCGCAGGAACATGTGAAGCTTCTCGAACTCCTCGTGGGTAAGCCTCTGCACGAACTGAGCCTGGACCTGAAACCAAACACGGTGCCACAGATGAGCATGGCATCATCACTGTGTCGTAGATATCACAAAGAATCACCCTGTGTAAACCAACCAGGAACGCCTGAGAACACGTCGTGTGTGACTTCTTTACTTTGTGAACGCAGCGTTATACTTCACCTGGATGTACGCCACCGTGTCCTCGTAGTTTTTCTTCATTTTGTCGAAAGCATCCTTCTTTTCTTGCAAAGAGCTGAGGGCTGACTTTATTTTCTCCTGAGCAGATGATAAAAAAGAAATTCAATTTGAAGTCTGTTAGAGCAATTTTTTTTGTGTCTTCAATATGTGTGTGTTCCTTGTTGTAATTCCTTATTGTCACAGTTGAAGGTACAAGTAGAGGAAGGTGTGATCAAAGGTAGGTTTGCATCCTAATGTGGGAGGCACATGTTTTGTTTTGCATAGTAAAGGTTAACTCTGACTGCAGCCTTCATAAAATCAGCTATTTATCACTGTTTTTTTACTCACATGAAGCTGAACATTTCCACTAATGCTGATGTGACACAGGGTGAACCGATCTTGCATGAATTTTTGTGATTTCTAACCTCTTTTTCTGACGCTGTTATCGTCTCATTTCTCTTTGTCCCACAAGAAACTGACCAACGTGTAGTGGCTATTTGTCCAAAAACAACAACAAAAAAATCTAAATAAACTAATATCAAAAATAATCAAATGACCCCTGATGCACCATGGGGCTGTGATGTAAGCAGGCAAAAGAAATCCAATGTCCATGCAAGAGCTGCGGTATTCTGGGGCTTTATTTGAAGAAAGCAAACAAAAGAACAAAGAAACTCGCGGATCCTGCTGCCTCTCTTGCTCTGTTAAAAAACAATAGGCCCACCCAGGTGCATGCTGGTCCTCTACCTGCCTCTTACCTAAAAAAAAAATACTAGTGCAAAACTAAATTTGCTAAACAAATAACTAGCAAAAGAAAATATTACCCAAATATCTATTCTAAATAAAGAAAATGTGTAGAATAATTAAATAAACAACACCCACATATTAGTGAACTACATACAAAAACTAATTCTAACCTAAATAGCTCCAACACAACGTCTAATTAAACACACTTCTCTCTGCAGACTGATACGATCACAGTTCCTTCTCCAGACTCTTTAATTAGACTCATGTCCCTAGAAACCATCCGCTATTCATAGAAACTGTTTCTTTATTTTTTTAAGATTTATTTTGGGGTTTTGCTTTTATTTTTGACAGGGCAGGCGGATAGAGCAGGAAATTGAGCGTGGGGAATGACATGCGGGACAGGAGCCACAGGTCGGACTTGAACCTAGGCTGGCCACTTTGAGGACTATTGCTGCTGTACATGGGGCGTGACCTAACCGCTAGGCCATCTGCGCCCCAGTTTTTTTTTCCTAACAACAGTCTATAATCAAGAGATGGCAGAGCGTTTCTATGCATAGATGGAAACAGCCAATATTTAACCCCCTCTTACCAATAAACAGGCTGCAGGTAAACTATCATGTTATACATACAGTGTAATATTAGTCAGTGCTAAAAAAAAAATCAAAAAAATCCAGTGTTTACCTTAACATCTACGACAGCCTCGCTGACAGGGCAGCAATCGTGCTGTTTGTGCCTCCTCGAGGTGTGACAAACCACACAGATTGGCTCCTTGTCCGTCAGGCAGAAAAGCTTGAGCCTCTCCCCGTGGAGAATACACATCTCCCCCGGCTCGCAGTACAGTTCTCCCCCCGTTTCCTCCGTCCCCTCGCTCTCCTGGACGTACGCCTCACACAGGTTCTTCAGGGTCAGGCTGGGCACGGGGTCGTCCACGGACTGGTTTCTGCACAGGGGGCAGTCCCGGCTCCGCCCACGAGTCCAGTACTGCTGCAGGCAGGGCGAGCAGAAGCTGTGGCTGCACTTGAGGACCACCGGCTCTCGGAAGATGTCGCAGCAGATGGGACAGGAGAGGTCCACCTCTGGGAGTGAGCGCATGCCCGCCATCCTGAACGACACAAATCAACAAATGATACTTAACATTATAGAATAGAATAGAATAGAATAGAATAGAATTACTTTATTGATCCCAAACTGGGAAATTGTGGCGTTACAGCAGCAGGTTGAGCAAAAGACACAATGTTAGCAAATCTAAACATAATATAATATTAACTACAAAGTAAATAAGCACTAAAAATATCAAAAATAAGAATGGAACATATACAACCAGGATTTAACTTAGCATTACTAGTCTAAAATATGAAAGATTAAATGTAAATGTGCAAAAACAGAGTTGTAAATGGACAGTATTGACATAGGGAGATGTGCAATCAGTGATACTTTGATTATATATTCAATGTATTCCTACTAATCAGTCTGTAATATTGCATGATATGGTTTTCTCTACTAAACATCACAACAGTCTGAGTAAATACTTTTTTATTTCAACTTTCTCCAATTGCAGCGGTTCTTTCTTTAAAGTGACAGAAATACACCTGTTTGTTTGTTTGTTTGTTTGTTTGTTTGTTTAAGATGTAATTTTGTCAACAGTTCACAATTACATAATCAGACATCTTGCAGTTTAAACATCTACAACTTCCTCTGTGTAAAACATTTCTTGGTCAAACCATATCTGTGAGTGATCCTGTGGGGTTAAAATGTAACTTTAATTAAAGCCTCTGTTTTTAACCTGGGTATTTAGGGTGGGTTATTAAAGGTGTATTACTTTGTATTGTGCATTTTGGGTGCAGTTGTCATGCAAGTTGTTTTACAGGTTTCAACCACAGGTACAGCAAAACAAAGTAACTCCAGCTGCTTTACTGTTAAAGCGAAAGTAGGCGAAAGGTGCAGACACTGACCCAGCACAGAGACAGGCCATGTTTGTATCCACTTCAAATGTCGTCTATTTGCAGATAAATACATTTAAATGAGTTTAAGAATACTTTATATTTATATTGAAAAAACAGTCATAAGAAAAGTTAGAGCCAAACATACCTGACAACAACAGTCTTGTGACAGCTGTCCCAGTAGTACGTGCTGAGAGAAGAGCCCTTCCTGCTTCCTGTTGTGATGAGTCATCCAAAGGGGGAGGAGCCTCAGAGGCAGCGCAGGCTCATTAACCCTTCAACTCACCGGCTCGAACATCTTATTCATTCCCAGTCCGAGTCAATGGATCCAAACTAAGGGAGGAAAATATTACAGGGTAGGCAATGAAACAAGGGAGGACGACAAATCGTAATATACAATTATATGCATATTCCTTTTTGTGTTTTCTTCCTCTCCAGAGCTCGAAATATATTTTTATAAGTCCAAGAAAACGAAAAACTAACCAACAAGTCATAATTTATTATCTCTATAGTTTAGCATAATATAATGTGTCTTATAGTATTATATAAGAAAGCATCAACTCTACTAATTTAATCGCTCCATCTCACATTAAACTATTAAAAATATGAAGAGGAAATATGAAAACACAAACAAAAAGCAATTCAGTTAGAAACAAGCTGACTTTTTATTTTTATTTATTTAAAAAAAATTATTGGTTGTTCAAACTGTGGCCTGATCATACTATAAAATCCAATCATGTTACTCTTAGCTTTATAGAGAGGTTTGAGCATAGGACGCCATCTAGTGGTTAAAGTTCAGAAATATATTTATGTTAATTGCAAACCAGATGCCATTTGCTGAGCATATTATGTAGTTAATAGGCAGAGTAATCACTTTACAATTTATGTTTCTAGTTATGAGGTTTCGCTGTACAGTCAGCTTCACACTTGCAGACAGAATCGTTTTCTTTATATTTAATTTAACAGCTAATTCAAATCATTTGTACCGTGCTGCTTTCCAGATTATGCCCAGTGCCATTTGATTCTATTAAAACGCTAATGAGGAAACTTCTCAGTGAATTTTACATTTAATATGTTCGTTTTAGTGGTAAAGTTCTTAGTTACACTTCGTCATGTTCAATGCTAGATTAAAGCTGTAACTGTCCAGAAAGCCTTTTCCTGTCTGTGTTGCTATTTTTATGCTCCAAAGAACAAATAGACGGAGAAAAATGGAGTCAGCTCACTGTGGTTCTAGCTTTTTGATAAATGTGTTGCACAACTTCGAGGTGACAGCGTGCAGACTCTTTCTTTCTGCCCCCTCGGAGCCCAGTTGTGCCCTTTTACAACCTCTGCGTTTAGCCGCAGTGATGATAACTTGATTAACTTCACACAGGAGGATGTGATTGTAGAGGAGCTTCTCATCACAACAGTTTTTATCATCAGTGAGTTAAGGTCTTCTCAAAAGCTGAATCTTGGACTCCTTGGCAGTGGCGGTTCTAGACCACTTTTACTGAGGGGGGCCAAACTGGGGCCAGTTGATTTGTCAGAGGGGAACATTAAACCCAGGTGAAAATAGACAAAGATGATCACTTTAAAAATAAATATATAAATATTATGCCAAATAATAGCGCACATCATTAAATACCAGGATTTCTACTTGTTTCAGTAACAGTATTTAACACTAGATTGTGAGTCTGGTTGTTGAGTCAAATACTGTGTATGCATTGGGGGGGGGTTCTTCATTTTGGAGGGGTGGCCACAGGGGGGACCAAGCTCAGTGTTACAGGGGCACTGGCCCCTGTTGGCCCCTGCCTAGAACCGCCCATGCTCCTTGTAGTTTAGTTAGTCAGTCTGTAATCTATAACGCTGTATTTATTCTGCATATATATTTTTTTCTTTTTTGAAAATCATGTTGTAATGCCCTTAAAAAGAACATACATTTGAGAACTCTTTTTAGTTGAGAGTCCACGTCCCTCTGACGTAATGACGCACAGACGCAAACTTATTCGCTGACTTCTGGCGCTCAAACGTGAAGTTCAGATTTAGCGTTGCGAAAGCAAAACATTCAAGTTAGAAACAAGCAAACTAAGACAATTTGAATTAGTTTTGGTCCTTGGTGGTGAAAAGTGAACTGCTCTAAGCTATAAACTATAAAGCTGGCAGCAGGACGAGCACGAACTCTGTTTTTGATAAGTGCTGGTTAAAGTTTGGACCGCAGGGAACAACAGCCTGCAGCTAACTACAAGTCCAGGACCCCCCCAAAAAAGTTTGCATAGCCTCAAGCTCCGGGAGGAATCTACCCTCCGTCACATCTTATGAAGCCAAGCTACATGGAACTGGACCCGAGTGCAGAATGAAAAAATAAAAATATTTATTTAAACAAAAGGCAAACACAAACTTACTTCAAAATCCAACAGGAGAAAACAAGGAGCCACGAGTAAACTGACACACAACATACAACTATGAACTGACACAGAAGGGAAGAAACACAGAGACACACTAGACAGAGGTAATCAAACACAGGTGAGGACAATCAGGTGCAACACAAGACCAGAAACACTGAGGACAACACAAAATAAATCATGAAACACTGAAGACACACAGAACTCAAGATTCTAACAAAACACAGGAGAACACAGAGAAACACGAGGATAATAAATGACAAAATAAAAACAGAAAACACTGAAGACAAAACTAGGAAATCATCAACACTAGGAAACATTAACACACAAGGGAAACAAGCAACACTGGGATAAAGCGGGGAAACTCAAATACAAAATACAAAACCAAATCATGACACTGGAACTGATGCTGAAGCCTTTCATAAGAATTAAATACACATGGAAACGCCGAACAGACTGCAATAAGGTAAGGAATGCTGTTTAATTGATTTTCTCACATCTGGCTTTTTAAATGTTTATTGTGGTGCATTGAGTTGAATTTCTTTTGCATGTCGTCACTATCTTCATCTGTGTCTTGCTTTGTTTATAGTGGGTTTCTCCATGATGCCCTATGATTGTAACATATGCTGCATATGTATTTATTTAAAAAAGGCTTGGAAGTTGACTGATAGATTACGCTCTCTCTTTCCCTGGCTTGCTCACTCGTTGAATTTTGCGTATGTGCCATAACTGTAAATATCGTTACGTGCGTTACATCATATTAGGTTACAAATTTGTGTAATGGGCTTTTAGACTAAATGCAACTTTCTATAGAACCTGTGGCGTGTATTTTGGTATTGCTTTTTCCAAATTAATTGCTTGAATGTGGTAAAAATGGGTGATAAACGCAACATTAAGTCACTTTGACTTTTTAATACATTGATGGATTTTGCTGCTAATGCCTCTGGTGTGACATTTAGATGACGAGCACATTGAACTGTCAAAGTCCCAGAGGTCGTTGTTCACTAATGGCTACAGCACCGTCTAGTGGCGGGTGGCTGCGTTGCAGTTTCAGCACAACATTTGACCTGCCTAGAGGGCAGATGTACACAAATATGAATTCAGTTAACTGGCTAGTTATTTTGTTGACGACTAGCAAGGCACACATCCCTGGTTCATTTAGACTTTAAGCTCACTTAGCACAGCTGGAGGGGGGGCAGGTAAGGATAAATAACTTGCTGAAAGTTACTGACAGGACTTTGACATGTAAAAAAAAAAAAAAAAAAATCCAATCTCTTGCTGTCATTTTTCCATTTTGACCCCGAGCTGTAGAAAGTAATTTTACTGATTGATTGGCATAAAAACTTTTAGTCTCTAACTCCTGACTGATGGAGCCACTTGACTGTCCTGTCACCTTCAAGACGCATGTAAACTCAACGTCAGCTTTCCATTTTAAATTGACCCTTCTATCCTTCAATTGATGGTGCTTATGCATTCCTTTCTTTTATGACTTGAGACATCCAACAGAGATTTTTTTCATCTCTAAAAGGGAGTATTGAGTTTCCACTAAATGCTCTGTTTGGTAATTTTCTCTCTTTCCCTCCTGGAACAACTCACGTTGAGTTCCACTTCAGTTAAGCAATTTTCCATTTACGTCATTGATGAATATAATTTTGCACATTTGAGTCGTATGTCCATATGCTATAAATACATGCATACATCATCATTCACTGCAATATGATTGAATTTTGACCAAAGACTTTTGCGGTAAGTGGAGATTAGTGCCATGCAATGACGTGATAAATGCTTTTTCAGATGCTAGAGCTGATTCATAATTCTTTGTGAGGCTCAAACTTTTGACTCCAATTCCCTCTCACCAGCAGATTTCTCATGAGTTAAGATTGCAAGTTTGCTTTTGATTTTATTAGTAATAAAATGTACACAAAATGTGGCACCACCTACCTGCTTTGTGAAATGAAACCAGGCAATATCTTTCCAATGATGTTATTATTTTTCACCACTAGATGTCAGAGTTTACCCACTTATAGCAAAGTCAGCTAAAGCCCCAAACGTGTGCTGCAGCATTCATGTCCTTTTACTTTGCAATGACATGACGTGGTTTTAAAAGAAAACATATCAGGAAGAAAGAAATAATCAAACTTAAATCCCATGAAAGGTAATTTGACCACGCCTGAGCTTCCTCCGGATGGGGATAACACAGATTAACACTCACATTTACCTGGATGTCAGTGTCTGCAGCCTCTCCCACCATTGTAAATTGGTTGTCAGACCAGTGTGACCCAGGCTAATAGTGATTCATTATTGCTCACACCTCGCCAGTGTTCGCAGAGCTTTATCTGGACAGAAAGAGGAGGAGGAGGGAGGCGGGGGGGTTGTGTCAATCTCTCAACATCTAATGAGGACAGGCAGGATAACACACAGCAGAGACAACCCGGTCAGACCTGTCTCACCACCTGATACTTAACGAGAAGCATCAGGGGCCAGTCTTACAACACTTTGACCAAGCTGAATCTTTAACACTGTTGTTTTAAGTTTTAAGTTTTAAGAAAATGTGAATGACTTCAGCTGAGGATGTGAATTAAGAAGCTTTGTCAGTGAAGTATAATAGTTTCATATTTATTTCACCCCCAGATAAGCCTTTTTGCAAATATGTGACCAAAAGTCAATAGTCTATTACGCTGCTGTGCCAAGTAGTAAAGCTGGACAGTAAAAAGTGAACAAAGCCAGTGAATTATGGGTAAGGAATAAAGAAAGAGAGAGGTAAAGAAAGAGGCAAACAGAGACATATTTTATTGTTTAGACTGATGGTGTTGACAGGCTGTTTTCTACTTCATGATTGGTCGTATACTTACACATCAGCTGTTGTATTTATATCGCAAAATCCTGCAAAACCTGTCCCTCTCTTGAAGAAAAGCTTGAATTAACAACATCACAACTCTATTTTCTCCATAAATGATCATAAATATCTTATTCTGCTGAATGCTCCACTTTCTTTGCTCGCTGGTTGCTAACGTGTATGTCAGTCGTTTGGTGCTGACCAGGTATTGTACAGCCAGTACATCCGAGTTCTTGTTGTCGCTTTTGTAACTGGGGAAGGCAGGCAACTAGAGACTGGAAAAAAACAGGAAAGCTATTCTTTATTGGTGTGACTTTGACTGTTGGGCTGTTAGCTTTTGGAGTATTTATGTATTTGCTTGAGTGTAACAACATCATGTTAGTAGAGCTAGTTAGCAGTCTATAAGTCAACTGTCCACATTGAAGCTAAACTTCTGACAGATTCCAACCATAGACTGTATAAAACATGGATGTAGTCTTAGTGACGTCACCTATCGGTTTTTTGAAAAGGTGTTATGAAGCCCAACGATGGTGGTCGCCATGTTTGAAATGCTTTCTCAACCTAACTTTTTATCAATCTAGAAACAAAGAGGTGGAGCTGAGGAGGGCCTTAAGCCTCCAGGCAAATAACGCTACAATGTGTTCACCAGTCAAGTCAAACATGCCCTGTATATGCAAATGTATGAGTAATTATTCAGCTTAAATAAATGAACTGATGACTTATGAAAAGATTCAACCAGAATACAGTTTGTACGAATAAGAAATGAGCTACTGGTACCAAATTTGTTTTTTGAACCAGGCTGTCAAAATTGTTATTTCCGCTTTAAAAATAGGCCCTGTTGATGATTCCTTGGCTTTTAGAGCAAGCCTCAAGTGGACACTCAAGGAAATGCAGCTTTTTACTCTTCTGGATTGGCTTCTTCTATAACAATGGCGGTTGTTGCGTGATGTCAACTTTTCAAACACTAATCCTGACAGGTATTGTGAAAGGAATTAAGTGGATCGATGCTGCCTCTAAAAATTCACTTCAGATTCAGTCAAACCACACAACAGCATCTGAAGTATTTCAAGTTGAACTTCTAAATTTCAAGGCTGCATCATTCTTCAGTTTATCAAATTTTTAGTGATTTTGATTTTCTTTAAGTGTCCTACTGTGCTTTTGACTGTTATAATACTTACACTTGGACTAATATTTGATAGCTCGTTCGACTAAACATCAAAATTGCTGCAGTAAAAAAAGGATTAGGAGGCAGCAGTTATACCAGTCAGTGCATTGTGAGGAAAAGACATTAAAAGATTGATATCCCAGTTGAGTCGTAAAGTCATTTATATCAAAGAAAAGATAATCAAGAGGACCAAAACATGAAATGTACTTTCTCTTCAGATTTAAATACTCGTGATGCACTGACAAATCGATTCATCCTCTTCACATCGTGACTGACTAACAGCGGGCTCCGTCATCTTCATCAGGGAAGCACTACGGCACATTCATTTCATAAGAGGATGCTTTCATTTCCTCTCTTCTGTCACACATGAATTGAGTTCTCTGTATAAATTGGATTAAATGCACAATTTCACCAGGGCTTCAGAGGCACTCGCACCACAAACAAGGTAACCTTCTTTTGGTCACATATTGATCCCCCCCCCTCGCGGTGATGGCTGAGAAATTTATGACAACATGGACGCTGCAAGGCATGTGTGATGTAACATAAGAAAAATATGAGTAACAGAGTTGAGGTCTTTTCCCTGCTAGCTATTTTTGGTGTGTTTTTGAAGGTGTGTAGGAGGTGTTGTCTGAAAAACACACACATGAATGCTGCTCACACACACACACACACACCCACACGTGAATGTGCATGGAGAAAAGCCTACTGTACACATAATCACCCCGACATTTCCGCACACACCAATGTGGCCTGGATTGGAGGTAAATTCAATCTTACTGGAAAGCCTCAGGCTCAGAAACCTCCTTGAGTCTTTGGAAGGTCGCCAGGCCCTCCACATTCACAGAAAAAACCACTGCTACCAGTATTTCCCTCCTTCAGTCACACACACACACACACACACCTGCACACAGCGACCCAACCCGCTGGAGTTCAAAAACCTCACATCAATTCAATAAGCCCCGGCCTGACGGAGACGGCGCAATACACCACAACATAGCTGCTCTCTCTATCTCTTTGCTCGCCCATTTCCCCTCCTGGCTTCCTCTCTCTTCTCTTTAAGCTCTGGCTCAGCAAAGCAGAGTTATGACAGTTTTGTTTGGGCTGGATGAATCTGCTGTTTTGTAATGACCCAAATCTTTAAAAGAAGTTTCCCAGCTCTGCTATCAAAAAATGCATGGAGAGTGTCAGGAATGGAGAAGAATTTCTCTGAGATATGTGCGGCCTTTTTAATGTTCTGTGTGTTTCCTTTCATCTTTGAACAAGGCTGTTGAAGGGACATTTCACATCTCTAAGTGAGGTTCAATGAGGTACTCACAGATTGTGAGTAGGTTTGTCACTGCGGCTGTCAATTCTTAATCTAAATTTGAACATTCATTCAAACCTGGTGGAGAAAGTTCACATTCAAACTGCAATGAGCCGTTGGAATTCAAAACACAGTCTATCAGTACATTACGCTGTCTGAAGT